TTATCTGAAGATGTACCTGCAGAACTGTTTGATTCTATTAGCAACATTGAACATTTTGCTGAAAGGCATTACACTTGCAAAGAAGTCTTTGATAGTTTATGTTTTAAACAAAAAACTATCATAGACTTCTTTATATAATTCTTTATATAATGCAAGAGAGGTAAAAATACAGTGGGTGATTGGTTAACGAACATAATCTGTTCCAAGACTTTGTTTGTTATCCGAATTGTTCGTTAACTGATTATCGATTTACCATAGGTTTTTATGGGAAAATTCCCATAAAATTATTCCATTAATTCATTCCGGAGACTCCAAAAAATAAAAAATAAATACTTTTTTACTACTGTACATTTATTTATATGTAATAGTAAAAATATATATATATATATGCAGTCTTGCATTTTTATTAGTCGTGTGTTTTCCATTTGTGGGGGTTAAAAAAATCTGTCAAATGTTGATTGCTTTTCTCTTTTATTCAGGATTTTTCAGAAGTAATTAGTAGTATTGTAATTGTAGAGATCCCTGACCCCATTAACCTTATTCTGATTTGGATGCCACTTGGATGATCGTTGTTTTGATGTCCTCCCACTTCTTCAAAAGATCTTTAGTAACATATGTTGACATTGGTCCTCTTTCGTCTTCCTCTTTTTCAAAAGAAAACATGTCTCGCTGAGTTTCTTGGTATTTTTCATTTGAGCGTTCTTGGAGTTCTCTTGTCGTCAGATCAGTTTCAGGTTCCATTATGAGCTCTAAAATGCTCTTTATTTCTCAGATGTAATTTTCATTATTCCATTAGCAGCTTGAGACTTGATATATCTTTCATAGCTAAGACTACTGTAGACCTATTCAAGCCATACTGCCTAGCAACATCAGACATCTTGTGCCCACTTTCTACCTTGGCTATTATCTCTTACTTGGTTTCTAAGGTGAGCACAGTTCTTGACACTCTTCTTTTTAGGCTCCATAATATTATCAGTTTCTTTCTTAAATAAAAAGTTCAGAAAAGCACTTACAAAAATTCAGAGAACAGAAATCAACTAGCCCACAAAAAATTATTTAAATGCAAGGCTGGATGAAATTTGAAATTTGGTGTTAAAATGTTAACGAATATCCGATGGAACAGTTAAACTTTCACCTTTCGTAAATAAACCCAGACGCAAATCTTAACAAGTGTCCATCCGACAGTCTCGCGAAGACTATAAAAAATTATTTGTCAGAAAGGTAAACAAAACGCTGAATTACAAGGGAGAGTTTCAAAATTTGGAAGAATACTATCTGATCGGTATCGGGTTGAGTGTCAATGTTGACGTCTCCTGCGCTATGAAAGGTTTCGAATTGTTACCTGAAGATAAGGGAAAATCAATCAGTATTCATTATTTTCTGTCGCTTCTTTTTATGTTTGTTCAGTAAAGTGTTCATTATCCGAAAATGTTTTCGTTGTCCAATCATAAAAATCTTTGCGAAAGTGTTCGTTATCCAATTTGTTTGCTATCTGAACTGTTCGTTAACTGATCACCCACTGTACAAATCTATCCAGAGTAGGCATTTTCTACTCTATTGTTCTCTAAGTTGAATCATCTTTAACTGAGTTTTTTTCCTGCTCATTGGAGTTTCAAGTTAGAGAAGTTTTACTATTAAAGAAGTTTTACTCTGTTAGAGAAAAACAAGAATTGCAGAAAAATTTAATATAACTGCAAAAAGTAGGTCAGAACAGGCTGAAAACATATGGAGATAGCCTAAAAAATGTGAAAGTGTTTCATCAAGTATTTCTTCTTTTACCAAACCCAGTAAATCAATCTATTTAGAACCAAATAACAAAGAGGTGCAGAAAAAACTCATGATGAAACCATATTCACACTAATCAATGTTTTATGCATTAAACATGTAGCTGTACCAATTGAAAGTTGTGTTCTTAAATAATGGAAACATTAAGTTAAAGGTGCCCAATGAAGCATATGGAAACAAAACATCAGAATTAATTTCCAAATCTGAAAATACTAGTGAACAGTACACAATCTTTTACCCCAGAAAACGTCAACCTTGTTCAAATAAACAGTATCAGCAAAGGATTATGAAGTACAATAGAATCTCCTTGTATGGATGCGGAACAACGGATTTCTTGAAATAATGGCATTTTTTTCCCAAGTTCCGCCAAATAAATGTAATTTTACCTCCTTGTAGTGAATATGTAACTCGGAATAATAGGTTTTTTCTATCTCCTTTACATTTTTTCAATGTTTAGTTACTATTTGGGTGTTTATAGGAATTTGTAGTGTTTGATGATGTAATTGTTACATCTGGGATATTGTGTAATTGAAGAATTGTATGGAGAGAGTCAGCATGCTGATAAAATTGAAGAGGAGCCACTTAAGGAGCATTTTTGTGTTGGTCCAAGTGTAGTGCCAAAATTTAGCAAGGCCATTGAATCTTTCCAAGTCATAAAGATTTTCTTGACAGGTTTCAACACAAAGGAACAGGCTATGCATGACATTGCTAATATCAAGTAGTAGTTGTATTTAATAGGCAGAAAAGCAGCAACAAAACAAATCAAGATGGACAAGTTTAACAAATTGTGAAGTCAAGTGAAGTGCTAATGAGTTTAAATAATTTGCTTTTTTTATGCTTACAGTATATAGTTTCCATCAGCTTTGTCATACACATGTACAGTACAACATAATATCTCTATTCTACAGACACATGTTAACAGACTGAATAATTTCAATACAGTCAACCCCCCTATAACACGGTAGATATGTTCCGTTCTTTATGAATCAATTTTGTACAAGTCCTTGCCAATCACAGCCTGGCACGTATGCACTTTACAGACTAGGGCTGTTTGAAAGGTTTTCTTCCATAAAATTAATCAATTCCTAGACTAATTCGACTCAACATTTCCAAAACACGTATATTTTTTGGGGAATAATCCATATAAACTATGCTACAAACAAAAAATTGTAGGATTACTTACTGAGTGTGCACCGTTCGACGTCACCATTGCTTAAGCTTGTTTTCGTCATGGAGCAGCGCACCAAACGGCGGCCGCAATTTCTGATAAGTTATTTTTCTGCGAAAACTTCGTTGAACTTTGGAGACATCATTAATATAAATCATTTTTATGGCCGTTGAATGAGAATGAATAAGAAATGTTTCTTTCACAAGAAATGTATAAAATTAGTGCTGTATTAGATGCAATTTTTTTGCCGTTATATAGGAATCCGAACTATAGGAACCCGTGTTATAGGGGGGTCGACTGTACGGACATTTCTTAAAGTGTTTTCACCCAGACAGTCCGGGAATTGACTCACTGTCCGGATGAACTATTAATTTTGTCCAGGAATTTCATGTGCAACCTATTGACCTTTTTTTGTTTTTTGTGTTTTTTTTTTTTTTCAGGCTCTACTCACACGGATTGTACACATCTTCAATATTGAGTACAGTTAAGTCATCTTCTGTACTACTACTTTCTTAATTTAGGTTGGTTACATTACTCCTATCCAAGTCTCCCTAGTCCCTAACTGTAACTGATTTAGAACCGACATGCATGTTATTCTTTGCATTGCAAAATGATTGCGCATGTGCCAGGAACTTCTGTTCAAACAAACCTGACCTGCTGTCCAGGTCAGCGATTTTCAAAAGGTGGCAACACTAATTTCTTATATGTAGGGAGTTAAAACTGAAAATTTTTTTGAATAATGGATTTAATTATTGTTAATTAATGATGATATTTTCTTGGGATTCTCAGAACAATGGCCTGAGTAATTTGTTAAAATGAGATTTTACTGTATTTAACTATATTCTTGCTTAAAATGATGGAATAAAACACCATTATTAAGTCAAGGAGATAGATAAATTTGAACTCTTATTTCCACATATCAACAAACTAAAAAACTTTGGAAACAATGTTCTTGTGTTAGTTGAGATATCAGTTACTTATGTCCTGTATTGGATTTCATATCAGTAATCCAACATTATAACTGTGGAAAATTTATTAACTTTACCAGAAAATGTAATCCAGTAAAGGCTGTTGCAAACTAGGCAATATTGAAGCAAATTTGTTCAATCATCATTTGGTTGAAGGTGATTGATTGCATGTTGTAGACTCAATGCCACACTATGTCGTACCCATTGATGGAAAGTAGGCAGTCTGTTTGACACTTCTTGTATCTAAGAAGTTTGATTTTTTGGACAGTGATCATTGACTCTTATTCGTATTTGAAAATTTGTGAGAAAGAAGTAGACCACAAAGAAGGCTTACATTTGTGCTTCACATTTCAGCCATGTCTGTGCTATGCTGGGATTATGAAACAAAGCTGTTTGATGGATTTAATGAATTTCTATAAAAATCTGTATTTTTTTCAAGATACCAATCGTTTGAGGTATTGAGGGTCAAGGTTGAATTATATTTTTTAAATTTTTATTTGATTTTTTTTAAATGACTTCCCATATGACTGTTTTTTTAAAACTCTTTCTGCCCTGTGGGCACTAAGATGGCCTCTTTTAGCAGGCCCGTTATGGGTTTGGACAGGCCCACAATGGGGTGGCCATATGGTGAGGAACGGGCTGACGTATTCAGTCGGACCATCTCCTGAAAAATTCATGGAGAGTTTTTCACCTGTTCAGATTCAATTGATCCCAGGTCCTCAGAGTGGTAGGCTGCCACCTTGATTGCTTGGCCATTTGGCCATCAAGGTTGAATTAAATTCCCTATAAAATTAAATTGTTTATTTTGAAAGATGATATTTTATAATCGAGTGTAATTAAATTACACTTGACTGATGGAATTTTCACGTAAATATAGAAAGTAGAAAAATATATTAATTTAACAACACAAATGTCTTCCTCTGTGTCATAGCTTCAAATAAAAGATCATCTTTGCAAGTGAGAACTGTTTTTGGATAATTGCTGGTGGTCAAAACAAAGGACAGGAATATATTTGTGTCATTAATATATTTTCATATTTATAAAGATAGAATATCTTTCAAGCGTGAATTATTTTTCAGAAACAGACTAAGAATTCAAGACTTTTAATATTTCTACGTACAAGCATCGGCACACTATGTCAGTCTACTTTCTATTAAGAACATTTAAGAAACATGTCTTCTGAAGGTAAATACTTTATTCTTTTAAAAGTTTATTATTTTTATTAAAAGATTTAATAATAATAAACTTAATTTTAGAATCTGTTTTGCATTTAAATCAAAATCACAATGTAAAGAAAAGAGGACTAAATCTGATGTAAAGAAGAGATCTAAAATCTGATGTTAAAAGTATTCTATCTTTGGAAAAAATAACTGTTTAACAACTTACGTATTTTGATATGAAATAATATTTAATTTATCCAATTTATGTAAGTAAATTAATTTACAGTAGACTCTCTGTAATCCGACATATATCAGTCTAGCAGGTGTCGGATTACAGCAGATTATTGGATTTTGTGTGTATGTTTTACTGGGCGGTTAAAAAAACATTCTTGGTTCATGAAATAGTTTATCATATTTATGGTAATGTTATCATGTTTTATTTGCTATTCAAAAACAAATATATTATTAGATAAAATAAATTGTCATGTAGAAATTAATGCGAATACTGTTTCTGATAATTATAGACATTTTTTTCTCATATTTGAAAAGAAAACTTATGTGACCACAATATTATAATAATGAATCATGGCTGTTTGTCATGACAGCTTACAGGATGGCATGTAGTAATTGTAACTTAAATTAGCGAGTAAAAACATTTGTCTTATGTAATTTTTTAGGTTATGATTCTCATTTCCGATGTGTACTGTAATGTATAAATTAAGACAGTATTATAGAAATTTCATAACCTTTTTGGAAAAATGTTGTAAATATGCTGTCTGTGGATGATGATTATAATAATTTGTTTATACAAACCAATACTAAATATGTCAAATCTGAAGAGGAGCCAAATAAGTGTTGGGCTTGAAATGCATTAATAAAAAATAGTCTTTAAGAATTGTCTTCTGAGTAATCAGTCTTGTGTTAAAATACATCTGATGAGAACCATTCCCTGATATGTCTTGTATCATATGAGATTCATTTAATTCTTATAACTATACTTAATACTGATTCAGTGATTCAGCCAATAAATACATGAACAAGTTATTTGGGGTTATGCAATATATATATTGGTTTTTGTGACTGTTTTTTTTTTTTTTTTAATCAATTTTCTCAGTTGTGAGTGGTTGTGTTTCAAAAAGGAATTTATTTTTCCACATTCTTATTTTAAAAATGGAAATATATTATTGTATATGAAACATGTTTACTGTCGAAAAAATGTTTTTATACTGAATTATGAGGGGGAAAATATTATGTGAGATGATTATAATCTTGATAAATTAATTTGGAAAAAATTATTTAAAATTAAATCAATATGTAGATACATTATTATTAGCTAATATAATAGTTTTCTGAAATTTTGTAATATAAGTTCAAAATACTGTAATTGAGATCCAGTATATTTCATAACCACTCCAGATTTAACGTGGAATTGTGGATTAAAAATGATGAAAATTCAATTAGAATTTTAATTGTAATATTAGCTGTCCACAAAAAAAGTGATCAACTTTTTTGTGGTTTTTTTAATTAATTAGAATTATGTAATGATATTAATATGTATTTGTTTATTTAAAGTGGCGTTAGAGGAGGAATCAGTTTAGTAGGTAAAATATTTGTAAAGGAAAATCATCTTTTAATTCCAGAAACTTATGATAAAAATCAACTTCATAATTATATTCTTTACAGATTTGTAATGAGTTTTTGTTTACCAATAAATACTTTCATGTGGTTATCTGAAGATGAAATAAATGCATTAGTTAGCCTTAATACTCGGATAAAAATAGCATTGTTATATTTTAGAAGTATAAGTGTTCATGATAAAATTATTTACCATTCAGTCCTCAACACAGTATTAACTAAATTATATCTAAAATATAGAGGAGAAGGTGGTATTATGGAACCCCATTTTCATTTTAGTGAATTGTAAACAAGGTATCATAACTACACCCAAATTTTTTGTGCGAAAAGTGCTGGTAACCATTAAACTAAATGTTCCTAATTGGATTTTTTGCTAGTTTAACTATAAGTATGGTTTTTGAAGGCCTTTGTACAAAAAGTTAGAAAGTAGGCTTAGAGAAAATCGGGTGGTAATATGGAACCTTACTGTATGTTTTCAAAAAATGCTTTAATGTATCCAAAAACAAATAGGAAAGTAGAAAGAATCTTAAATAATTACAAAATTATTTACTCCAATGTATTTTATTGAAAAAAATGCTTTTATAATAGAAAAATATGACCTCCATTAACAATATATATTCCAGTAGCTCTTTTTCAATATTCTTTGGAAGAATTGTCCTTCTACCTAATGTCTTTTTCATAAATTGCTCTGGACAAATGTCTGCTTGCAAATAGAGAGTTCGGTGGAATTGTGTTTCATATTAAAAGCACCAATGGGGTCAATATTTCACGCATTGCCATCTTGAATTAACTTATGTCTGTCAAGACCAAATTTTAAAAAAACGTGAATATCACGTAGATTAATATGTACCCGTAAGTCTCTGGAACAGAATACATACACCAGTGAAGCTACAACTACACAATTTATATTTTAAAAATATTTAAATTGACTTAGCATTCAAAACTTTCAAATTTCAAAAAACACAAATTTGCTGATTCACTACGGACAACTGTTTAACTGAAGTGAAACAGGTTTTCCCCTTGCTATGGATGTCCGTATAGTTCAGTTCAGCCATAATCTGCTACAGTTCGCCTTTATTATCAGTTCGAAATGGGGTGGTTCCATAATACCCTCAGTGTTCCATAATACCACCTTTTCCTCTAATAATAATAAATTAATTCCTACTCTCTTTGATAAAGAAGCTATGTAATACATTATAGAAATTTCAATTTTATCTGGAAGGAGTTATCTTAACCAAAATCCATAAGGTATTAGCATTTAATCAAGATGCTTTAAAAATATACACTTTTTAATAATGAGAAAAGACAAGAATCAGCCAATGATGGTGGTAAGTGTTTTCATTCTTAATTGATGAATAATAGTTTAACATTAGATCAGTATTACAAATGTTTATCTCAACTCTCAATAGAAAATTTTCAAATGATAAGTGATAACCTTACAATTTTTAAAACAAAAAAGAAACTAACTTATATTTACATAAGCTGAATTATATTGTTTTTGTGTATTAAAATTAAGCAAATTACATATATATAAAATATTTTAAAAAGTATTTAAAAATAAATTTGGTAACAATGTACATTTATTATACATGAACACAGATTCATTAACATTTCAAATTTGTACAAATGATGTTTACTATGATGTAAAATTATCATCATTGATTTTAGCAACTGTCCAAATTATCATGTTATAAAATGAAACAGTAATAAATTAGGATATTTTAAACATGAAACGTTATCAAAACTGATAATTGAAGTTTGTTCATTGAAACCCAAAATATTTTTGATAATCAAAATAAACAGCTAAAGGAATTTAAAAAATCTATTGTAAAAACTTTGAATCAAGATAAATAAAGCAGTTTTAATCAATACAGAAGTGTTAAGGTCTCAATACTATTTCAAATCAAATCAATTTATTAATCATAATAGGCCATAGGGTGTTATATCAAATTAACTTATATAAACATTAACAATAATCATGTAAAACTAAGTATCCTATAACTACAATACTCATGAATATCAGGTTTGTTATATAAAATTAGAAAGGCTGATTACAAAAAGGTTTTGCGAAATTATACAATTTGTATATCGTAGTATTTGCTAAATGAAATAACCGATACATTTGATTTTCCTCCTTAAAGGTATTTAGCCAATTTAGTTCACCATTAATTCTTAGTTTTTGGTGTTCCTTGCACTCACAAAACATATGAAGTTTAGTCAATATTTCTTCGCATCTTGGGCAGTATGTTTTCAAGAATTCATAAATTTTATTATTTATCATAATCATCTTTTTATTTAATCTAAGTTGGAGAAAAAATTTTTTTGATTGCAAACGGCATATTTGATAACATGTAGTTATTATTAAAAGGGTAATCCAGAATAATGCTATACCACTCTGGTTCTTTTTGGCTGTACATTTCTCCAATGTCTTGAGATAGAGAAATTTCCAATGTATTTTGGATTAGTTGAGTTTTAATCAGGTCACTAGTTTCTGATTTTATCAGCAGTGGAGTTATAGAAACACCAAAGTTGTTGACAATATTTGTCATTTTATTCATCCAAGAACTTTTTTGCGGATTTTGACAGGGTTTTTGAAAAATAAAAACTTGCATTTCGAAAAATCCTGTCAAAATCCGCAAAAACAACAATTCATAAGGTAAATTTCCATTATCTCTAATCTTGTAAAGAAAATTGATGAATCTTTTTACAAAGAAGGGAGTTAATTTGAACCTGTTAAGTTTTAGCCTAAGTGCATATCCAGGAAAGTTATATTCTAGAGTAAAAATTTTGCAGATGAATTTAATTTGAATTATGTCAAATTTTTTATAACTTGTAAGGCTCCAAGTTGGAGAAGCATAGCCTATGGCATTAATAATTATCGAGTTAAACAGTCTAAAGTGAATAAATATATTTTTAAGTTTAATTTGGGAGAACAACTTCACCATATTATTGATCAATAGGTTAGATTTGGAAATAATTTTTTTTATACTTTTTTTCGAAAGTTAGTGTAGGGGTCAGGACTATTCCCAAAATCTTGACTTCTTGTACTATCATAAGCTGTACGTTGTTCAGATAAAAGGATGTACTTTTTTTAGCAACTCTAACACCGTTTTGGAAAATCATTATTGAGGATTTGCTTGGATTAATTTTTAATTTTAATTTATCAAAATATTCATGAGCTTTTTTAATTTTTCTACGAAGAGCTGCAGCCGTAGGAGCAACTATCACAACATCATCAGCATATGATATGAAGTGAACTATTTGGCCATTAATAGAAAATCCATCGTCTTCCCGGTCAAAACATTCATTTATATCAAACAAAAAAATTTAAAAAGATAAGGGGACCAAGGGTCTCCTTGTAATAAACCTCTATCCACTTCCCATTAAAGTGTTTAATTTTCACATTATACTATTTAATTAACATCATCATCACAACAAAATATTCTTTTCTCCCTTTTATAATGATAAATTTATTTTAGGTATTGGCTTAGATGCAACATCATTTGGTCATTATAACTTTTATTTTTCATTCTTACCAATTCATTGATATTATTTTCATCACAATTTGCATATTTAATATTATACAAAAAAAAAAAAATCATTTAAAAACTTACTGAATGCATAGTGTTTATAGTAAAACATCCATGCATGAAACAACTGCATGCATAATGCAACATAAATTAAAATCAGCACAAAATATATGAATTCCTTGAAGTAAATTAAATACAACAATATCAGGATGCAATAAATAAATACTTTTATATTTATTTTAGAATTAGAATATTTTAAAAAACTAAATGAAAATATAAAATTCCAAGAAAGTCTTCCAAATGGGCAACAGGATATATTTTTAGTAATAATAATTAAGATATAATTAAATCAAATGAACAAAAATTAATATTCACAGATTCATCAATTGAATTGCCAAATACTTGTTATGGTAGATAGCTCCAAAATCTTCATAATGTTTAAAATATAATATTGTAATGGATGCTGGAGTAATTTACAGTGATTACAGAGGAAATATTGGAGTATTAATTAATGTATGATTTTGATAAAGATGACGATATAAAAGCTGAAAGTGCAATTTCAAAAATAATATATGAAAAAACTTACATCTGACTTTTATAGAAAACTTATCTAAATGCTTCTGTGCAAAATGCTAAAGAATTTGGTAAATGTATTAAAACATTATAAAATATTTAACAAAAAGTGATTAATGTATGTATGAATTCAATTTTATATATAATCATATACAATTATAACTACAAAATACATCTTTTACCATATTCATTCTAACCTCATAAAATTATATAATTATGTATTTAATTTATATCTATTGTAAATGAAAACATTTTCTATGTCTCTAATTTTGAATATACTCACTGCAAATGTTAAAATAAAATACTAAAAATTTCATTTGAGATTCAATAAATTTTAATGTGTACTCTGGCATATACAGGATGTTCCAAAAGTTTTCATACATACAAAGATAAAATGTAATTTTATTCTCAAAAGATTAAAATGTCGGTGTTAAGATTTGTGTCAGTGGATTAAGGCAACAGAAGGCATGGGTAATCTGCCAATGGGGTAACTTCTAGCAGGACTTCATATATGGAAACTGGATTCTGTTTGGGTATTAGACACACGAAGAAAATCTAGAACACTGCATGGTAGCCAGGCCCGAACCAATGATCAACTACCAGTTTTCAATGATTTTATTTATTTGGCCACTGGTGTGCTTGATTTGTGTCACTGTATAGACTTTTGGGACACTGTATTAATTTGCAGTATTTAGAATATCTAATATGTAAAGTTTCATTTTTACTTTTAGATTATTTCTGGAACATTGTCTTCATTACTTTTATTTAGATAACTATATTTGATAGATAAACAAGGAATTGTTTTCCTCGACTGTTGTTTCCTTTTGTATTTGAAAACAACACTTGTTCTGTCTGTGTAGCTCTAGTTAATTTCTTATCAGATGATCAATTTAGTTCATCAGTACTAGTAAACAGATCAATTGGAAGCTCATCAACTAAAATTATATTTTTGGCTTGATCAGATATTTCACTACAGTTTTCTTTTTGTATAACTAGAAAAAAAACTATAGTTTTCTGTAACTCAATATAAAATTATGTTAATAATTAAATACAAATGGCTTTAAAAATGTATTATAATAATGATATCTAACCACAATAAATTAAACAAACTATTAAAATATTTTTGCCAATAATTTTACAAGACAAATTCATGAAAACTGCTTATTTTGCATCTCTCTATTAATTTAAGTGAGTTTAAAATTGCATTTGGTTGCAGCTGATTCTTGATAGATAGATAGATGCTTGCACATTTCAATAAATCTCTTGTAGTGTTTATGAACTATATTTTGCATCTAATATCAAATATATATTAGTGCAAGACATCAATTTAAAAATATCCAGCAAGGAGTTGTGTAACTTTCATGGTAAAAACATTTAAAATTGCATTTGGCATCATCTGTTATGATATTTAGAAAACTTTTTAATTATAAAATGTAAAAACTTAATTTTGAAGATAGAGATGAGTTAAAAAAAAAATAAATGCTAATGAGTAAGATCATTAACTCTGACCGTACTCTAGATACCGCACATGATCCCCTCTCCCTTGACTTTTAACCACCAAAATTTAATAGCATCACTCCTCTAATATACAAAAACCCCTGCAAAATTTTAGGAATTTTTGGCAAAAGGCATGGGAGTTATTAAACTTCAAAGTGGGTGAACAAAATTGTGTCACCCCCCACACACACTAACATTCATACATACAGAAGAAACTCTCAAATTTTCTTTTGCATTACTCAATGTTTCCAGAGTCCAAAAGTGTAAAAATCTTGGGGTTGTATTTTACCAGTTTCTGTACTTTCCCTTTGTTATATTTAACAGCCAGGAAAGTAAAAATTTAATTAAACTTTCCTTTTCAACTCAAAATTGACAATAAGAACAGACCCAAACAGATTGTTTTAAGTAATTAAATTTTCTATAATTTTTATAGAAATTTCCATCTAGTAAATTACCTGTTAAAAGTTGTTGTAGAAAAATATTTTTAGGTTTTTAAACAATAAAAGTGAAATAAATTCAATACTGATTCTATATATGTATATTTTTTAATTTAGTGTGAATTTCTTTTGGGTTTCATCTTGTTCAGGCTATCAAAAGAGTTAAGCAAAGTTTTATCAAAAGCTTTGATTTCAAGGTCTCATTCACAAATGCTGGAAATCCCCAGAGGTTTAAAAATCTGGGGATTTGAGATCTAAGAGAACTACCAGACCACATTCCATGGGAGATTAAGCAATTGGCAAAGAAGTCTATCAGAAAGTAGTAACATCATCTAATACAAAAGGGAAATTTAAGTCATACAACTTACAGGATCTTGTATGAATGCCATCCATATAACTTTAATGTCATTACAAGTTTCTTTCTGTACAGTATCTTTTCGGACATACTATATTATGATTTTCAAGTTCCTCATTCTTTTAATAATAATAATCTAAAACTATCACTTTATTTATAAGATAGAAAATTCATTTCAATTGAAAATGATTGATTCTTACTGTTCATTAAATAAAAAATGAGAAAATAAATTCTGTACAATTCTAAAATACTTTAAAAGAAATTTAAGAAACTACTGTTCAAGATAGTGAAAGATATCTTGTGTTCATTTTCGATGATATCAACAAAGATATGAGAAAGATTGCTAATTAGAAAAATCAAAGAGATCCAACCACCATTATACAGTGTGTATATATATATATATATAAATAGATTGTATTTATTCTGTTTTAAGTGAAGTGTAACTAACAATTATTTATTGTGATGCTGTCACAATGCCAGACTGCAATTTCTAACCATCATTTAATTTTTAAAAAATTCACTCTACTTTTTAAATTCACTCTACAGACAGACATACTAACTTCCAGTCCAAAAACTGGAAGTTAGTATATAGTTAACTGGCCCCATGCTTTCCATATCTGGTCTCGATTTTAGCAGTCTTACCTCTGCACATCATACGACTGTTAACAATCAAGTCATTTCGATCATCTAACTCCATTTTTGAAATGAAATGAAAGACAGACAGACAGTGTGAATGTATAGGTCTGCAATTTGAAAATTGAACCCCCAAATTAACCCAGTATACATTAAATCAAACCATCAGCAGACTTTCATTAGATCCGTTGATTTGAATATTGTGTTACTACAGTCAGCGGCGGCCTTATCCATTGTGAGGCTCTGGGCGGCAGATCTTTGCAAGGTTCTGGGCGGCAGATCTTTGCGAGGCCCTTGTCCTTTGTGCAAAGTATGTGAATTGAAATAGTTGGCACTTATTAATATATACTGTACTATAAATTAAATTTATTTTATTGTTATAACTAATAGCCAAGGATAAAATAAAAAGTTTTAAATATCAACTTTTTTCTACTTGGTTGTTGCGCGAGGCCCCGGGCGATTGCCCTGTTCGCCACCCCCTAAGGCCGCCACTGACTACAGTATTGATCTTTAATCAGATATTGCTACAGAATCTTTCTTTGTCTACTGAGATACACTTTCAAAGCTTTGTTTTAAACAGCAGGTGCCAAAAACACACGTGAGGCATGACTTAATTGTTGTCAAAGTATGATGTACAGGGGAAGACTTGTAGACTGTGTTTAACTTATTTTGTTTTCAGAAGACAGTCACAAGAAATGATAGAAGAAAACATTAAACAAGGAAACATATTTCATGGAAATGAAGAAAAACACAATACTAAATGAAGATATTTTAAATTTATTTTTCAAATTATTTTCAGAAAAATGATGTAATGAAATCATTTGAGTAGATTGTGATCTTTAAATATTAGTTTAAGGAAACTTATGAGAGAAATGCAAATTTCATTTTTATCTGCACAAAAAACTTTAATGATACTTTAATAATTGCATGCTTAAATTTTAATAATGCATTAATTTTATATGTTTTATTGACAATAAATTGAACAGTTCTGGTCTTTAGATGTTGGTTTTGATATATTTATTCATCTTATTTAACAGGTTTCTCCCATCGTAAAACAAAGAACGGGAAATATCAGTGTAAAAGTTGCAAGAAAAAATTCATTTCTAAAGATGGACTTAAATATCACGAAAGGATTCATACTGGAGAAGGCCTGTGGTCTTGTCATTTATGTAATCGTGACTTCAGTTGTTCCAGCAGTTTAAATAATCACATCAAAATTCATACCGGAGAGAAATCCTTTACCTGCGATCACTGCAGACAAAGTTTTGCACTGAAAGGAAGTCTGATTCGACATCTCCGAACTCACACAGGGGAGAAACCGTTTACTTGTGAACATTGCAAACGAAGTTTTAAACAGAAAGGAAATCTGTTAACTCATCTTAGAACACACACAGGGGAGAAGCCTTTCGCATGTGAGTATTGCGAGCGAAGTTTTACACAAAAAATCTCTCTTATACAACATATTCGAAGTCACACAGGAGAGAAACCTTTCACTTGTGAGTATTGTGAACGAAGTTTTAGACTAAAAGCTAATCTGATAGAACATATTCGTGTTCACACCGGAGAAAGGCCATACTCATGTGATTATTGCTTACAAAAATTCTCCGTTAAATGTAATTTACTTCATCACATAAATAGACGGCATAACAATAAGAATCTTAAAGAATGATATTTTTTATCATGCGAAAAGTGGATAACAAAAAGTGGTGGACATTTCAAAAAATATTTAATACTCGTATTTAGATTTTATGATGTGAATAGAAAATGTTTTGTAGAACTATTTTTTAATAAATAAACGTTTAATTTGAATACTGAAATCCATTTCTATTAATCACGAATTCAGTATAATTAGAATAAGCAAATGGAGTCTTGTTTATCACAGTGATAAGTGTATTCTATTGTTTGTAGTTTACTTATCGTAAACTTTACTGTTTATGTTAAGTAAACTGCAAACAATTATATTTATAGAGAGCAACCAATTTCAATAATGGGCAACTTCAACACTCAGAATGCAACAATTCTCCACATCAACAATAACATATTTATACCTAACTTAAAAATGGCAACTTAAAAAATGCTTGACTTCAGAACTGTGCCGAAAGTTAACAATGGCGACTTCAATAATTCTCGACATAAACAATACCATACTTCAGTGATACCTAATTCATAATGCCCTACTTCGACAATTGCTGACTTCACCATATTGAAATTTCAATATATAATTTAAACAATGGCCTTCAAAAATGTCAGACTTCAACAATGCATGACTTAAACTGCGTCGTACTTCAACAATGCTTAAATTCTATAATGGAGATATCAAAAACAATGAACTTCAAAATTTCAGATACACAAGTTCAATAACATGTTTGACTATACCTTCCTTTAATCGAAGTGGAAGATCGAATCTCAAATGATGTCAAAGTATCGGTCTGTAAATTTAGAAGGAAAAAAATCCAACCGGGATGGAAAGTCAAGACCAGTTGATTAAGTCGTAGCTGGGCAAAAGTGTCATATTCGGGTAAAAGGTCACTTCCGGGTGGCTGTGTCACATTCTGTGGAAAGTCAAAATCCGTGCAAGGACTCAGCAGAAAAAAGGTTATATTTTCCAGCAACAAAACGACCTTTTTCACCAAGGCCTTTTATGCTCGACGGATGTTTTCATGATTTCTTTGGACTCTTTTCTGTGGAGTCCAGTCTCATGTGATCGTCTATTTCAGAACTATTGGATATCACTGCCCCAAATAATGGACACAGGACGAGGCACTGTTGTTCAGAGTTATAACAACCACCCGTTTGACATGGGGCATAGACGACTCCTCTGCATCTTTTGGAAACACCTGTATTACACGAGGCTAAGACGAGGCGCCATCCTCAGGCTCAGCATGGCCCAAGGTGTGCCACTCCTTCAATTCTTTGAAATTGTCCATTCTGCAAAGGAAATTGAGTGAATGTTAAAACAACTTGCATTAATTAAGAAATATTCCTATTCTAATCTGAATTTAAATTTCGAATGCAAAAATGATTGTTTTAATTCCTCCAAAGTCAGAAATGAATGTTATAATAAAATGTCTAGTCTACTACCGTGTTTCCCCGAAAATAAGACATCCGCAGAAAATAAGACCTAGCACAGGTTTTGCTGAATTGCGAAATATAAGACCCCCCTGAAAGTAAAACCTAGCGAAGTTTTTTTTTAGTCCTAACGGTCATCGACAGATAGTTGAAAGTGGCCGTTGGCTTTTTGAAAGTACAGCCACTGATTACGCCACACGGCATGATTTGCATAAGACTATGGCTTGGGAATCACAGATTTGCATAACGTTACGGCTGGTGATGGCTAATTGGTCGGCCGGGAATCACGCCACATGACATTTGCATAGTGCTACGGTTCGGTAAGCACTAATTGTTCATCGAGTCCGATGTTGACGCTATAAAAAGGCGACAGTTCGACACACCGGATATACGTCACTCTCGTCTAAGTTCGACTTGGGAATTTTTTTGTTCAATAATAAATGTGAATTCTTCTTCCTGGAAAAAATAAGACATTCCCTGAAAATAAGACCTAGCGCATTTTTCAGAGCAAAAATTAATATAAGACACTGTCTTATTTTCGGGGAAACACGGTATATAATGCTGAAAAACCGGATTCTTTCTTTTTGTCACTGTATTCCAAAAATGGCCACTAGGGACACCCCTAGCTATTACAGTCGACCCCCCTATAACACGGTAGATACGTTCCGGTTTTTATGAAATCCATTTTCTAAGAGTTCTTAAATACATGAGCCAATCACAGCCTGGCACGTATGCAGTTTACGGATTACGGCTGTTTAAAAGGTTTTCTTCCATAAAATTAATCAATTCTAGACTAATTTGACTCAACATTTCCAAAATACGTATAATTTTTTGGGAATAATCCATATAAACTGCTTTTTTTAAACTCTCTGCCCTGTGGGCACTAAGAGGGCCTCCTTTTGCAAGCTCACTATGGGTTCGGCCAGGCCCACAATGGGGCTGCCGGGTGGTGAGAGAGCCCCATTGTGGGCCTGGCCGAACCCAATGGGGCTCCCTCATATAAACTATGCTATAAACAAAAAATTGTAGGATTATTTACCGAGTGTGCACCGTTCGACGACGCCATTTCTTAAGCTTGTTTTCGTCGTGGATCGGCGCATCGAATGGCGCTCGCGTGCTTCCTGATAAATTATTTTTCTGCGAAAAATTCGTTGAACTTTGGAGACATCATTAATATAAATATAATTTTGATGGACGTTAAATAATAAATGGTTTTTAGTAGGTCCGCTGCTCGTTTAAACTCAACGGTTTGTGCAATATCCGCTGTTGGTCTCGATTTGCCTAATCCTGTCGCGACACGAGTCGGCGATGACGTTTTACCGAATTATACGAGTCTCTTTTAGCGTGTTTATACGAATACGGGCGCAATTTTTTCGCAGTCATATAGGAATCCGAACTATATGAACCCGTTTTATAGGGGGTCTACTGTATTTAAATTAATTTAAATTAACAATATAAATTATTTTATGTAATAATTGTAATTTAAATTATCGACTAAAACCGTTTATTCACATTATATTGTACAATCTTTTGGGGCATGATTTACACTTAATTTTTAAAAGTATAACATTGAAATTATTTTAAAAAATTTAAAACATTCACATTATATTAATTTTAATTTATTGGTAGTTAAAGAATGTAAATGATATGTTTTTATCTTCACGACTAGGTGCATAGATAGACACAGGGCATTTCTGCATCATCTTTATTCGAAATATCCTATAGGCCGATACGCGTTTTGGGCAAAAGCCCTCATCTGTCGGCATGACTTCCGGGATTTCTTGTAGGTGGTGTCGACACGTATACATTTCGTTTAAAATTACTGTACTTATTTACTGTACAGTTAAGATACTATTATAATTTAAAATATATTTACGATTAAAAGTACTATTACATTTAAGGTTTCTTGACTTAACATCCTTCAGAATACACAAATGTAAATTATAATTTTTTAAAGTATATTTTTAAAGAATATTTTCACAATAATAAAAATAAAAAAATATAAAACAAAAAGGAATTTTTTCATATTCTTATTTTAAACACGAAATTATATTATATGAAATATGTTTACCACTAAAAAAATGTTTTTTAATGAATTAAAACATTTTTAAACAGTTAATTACACTGGTCAGTTTTTGACGTCTTGAATAAGGGAAGTAGAATGGTTATGAAGGGTTTTGAATCCAAAAGTTAATTTTAACCCTGCGTAAAGCGCGCCAAAGATTCACGCACAGTTGTGCGCGCGGGGTGCTATATAACCCTCGTGTTCAAAATTCAATTTTTCAAAACTCATAGTTTTTTTCGCGATTTTTTCATTTTGGATGTTTGTGGGCATGTGTTTTTGATGTATTAGTGAAAAAAACTACTTCAAATATATCGATTTTANGAAAAAACACATGAATGTAGTCTTGGAAAAAGTGGAAAGACAAATTTATATGACATCGGATACATAAATCGTAAATTTAAGGAAAATAAATTATAGAGGTTTTTCTGTACCTCTTGCACCTCTCATTCATTAAATTTAGTTATAAATGACGCTACAAAAGTAACAGTTAATTTTTTAACATTATACAAAAATTGTACACGCTTTTTTCTACATCCCCTTACAGATGGGACATACGAAATCGTAATATCACTGGTTTAACATTGAAATCCGTAAGTAATATAAAATCGGAGAGCTGAATAAAACTATCAAATATTTTAACGGATTTTTTTAAACTCCTGTCAACTATACAGAACTATCATAAAAACATCATACCAGTAGATTTTTATCGTTTGGGTTAAGTTATAAATGTACTCTCAATTCACATAATGGGGCAAGGGCGGCCAAATATCTAGCTGGCAGGCGGCTAACAGCCCAGAACCAGTCCTGGATAGAATCGTTGGAAGCGTTATAGGCGTGTAGCTTCACGGGGTGAGGTTGGTGCTCTGTAAACCGCGTGCGCGAATGAGTGTAATCTGGCTGTTTGGAAGCTGACAATACAGCGCTTCCATTCCGCCACTAATATTCGAACATACAATAGCGATCTTATCATTTTTTTCACACGTAGTATAGAAATTTGTAATAAGATACATAATGCGGTTATAATAAAATATTAATTTTAATTATATGAAAATAATCGCGCAATATGTATTTATTTTTTTAGAAAATACAAGGAAAGTGGCGCTTCCACCGCTTTCAATGACGGCACGCCACTGGTTGGCATATACACCACAAGAAATTGTAACAACAAAAATAAAAATAAAACCTTTGTATCACCCACCCTGCACAGAACTTCCCGCCAGAACTTCGTTCCTCAGCTGACAGTAGTGAAGACAAATGGTTCTAAAGAATTCGTGACCGTCCCTTTTAGAACCAGAATGGCGATGTTCTTGAACGTTCTTCGCATTAAATCGGTGTGACTCCTAACTACTCTTATTCGAAATTTGACCGGGTTGGCTCTGTCCGAATCATCGAATATATAACAATAATTAATACTATCGTGAATAATTTTAATTTAACTTTTTCACGAATTATTTATTGTTATTAAACGAATTTTAAAAGGACCGAAAATATCAATACCCGAAATGCGGCAAGAAGTGTCTTGGAAAAGGCGATTTGGAAAGACACATTCGAACTCATACGGGCGAAAGACCGTTTAAATGCAATTTGTGCGAAAAAAGTTTTTCGGATAAGAGCAATTTGAAAGAGCATTCGGATGAAAAGCCGTTCAAGTGCAATTACAATGATTGTAATGATAGCTTTAAACAAAAAAAAAAAAGACTTGAAACAACACATGTATGCACTTCACCCTGATGAGATTTTATCTAAAGTAAATATTACCACAAATTTCTATATTTTCATTTTCGTTTTCATTTTTCAATTATCAAAGCGATAAAAGTTATAAAATAAACAGACACAATATAATTGTACAGGATAATATAAAACATTCAACATTAATCCATCATAAACATTTATAAAATGGGATAGACGTTATCCATAATAAAATTCCTCAGTGTAATTAATAAGCTATGATCAATGTAAATAATATAAAATTTTAATTACAACAATGTTCAATTATTAAGAGAATCATTCTTCACAATTATTTCTCTTATAATTGATATATATATATATTATGAAATCATAGTTTATAAAGTTTTTAATAAATAATTAAGATGAAGTATTTGCATTTAAAGAGTTAAGGATTGAGTTTTTATATATTGTGAATAATTGACTAAAAATTTATTTAATAATTAGATTTCACCAAACGACCCGAATATAATTAGCCGTAAATGTAACTTCTGCCGAAAAATATGTCCATATCCCGCTGCTTTAAGACTTCACTTGAGAACTCACACCGGAGAGCGGCCATTTTCGTGTAATTTTTGCAACGGTACTTTTGCTACCAAATATAATTTAGACAAATTTACGCGCAAATTCAGAATTTTTCCTAAGAGTTTCGAGTCCTTCGATAGAGAGCCGGTATCATAACGTTTATGCGTCATTTCATGTATCCTAAGTCAGATATTATAATTAATTTTTTACTTTTTAAATTATTAAATTCAATTTTACTTAAGACATTTGATAGTTTTATTGATATAACTTTATTTGTACTGAATGAAAATTAATGGACATCGAATTGTTTTCCTTTTTTTATTTTATCACATCAAATAACGTTTCTGCCTATTTATAATTTTCGGCATGCCCAAAAATTTTGGTCACGCCTTGCCCCTGATACGAGGTCTGTTCAAAAAGTATCGGACTTTTATTTTTTCCGCGTAAACCAATGATGCGCGGGAAGCCTCTTTCGGTGGAGTTGTGGAGGGGACAGTCATGCACAGCGCTGAATTTTCTCCCGCCTACAGGAAGAAAATTCGTTTTTTTAATAATTTAAGT